GTCCTGTAGGCTTCTAGGATTTGGGATTCTGTCTCATTCTTCAAGTCTGGGAAGTTTTCTCATATTATTTCGTTGAACAGATTGCTCATTCCTTTGGTTTGGACCTCTCTACCTTCCTGTATCCCAATGACTCTGGTCTCTTTATGTTATCCCATATTTCTTCGATGTTCTGCTCATGGTTTCTTTCTTCGATGTTCTGCTCATGGTTTCTTAACAGTCTTGCTGAGCTGTCTATGTTCTTTTCAAGTTGAAATACTTTGTCTTCATTGTCTGATGTTCTATCTTCTAAGTGTTCTACTCTGCTGGTAGTATTCTCATTTGAGTTTTTAAGTTGGTATTGCTTCCTGCATTTCTAGAATTTCTGTTTGTTTGTTTTTTATAACCTCTATCTCCCTGTATAGTTGATCTTTTGCTTCTTGGATTTGTTTATGGAATTCATTGTCAAAGTGATCTTTCATTGTCTGATTTTGTTGTCTAATGTCTTCCTTGAGACTCCATATCATCTGAAGCATGTATATCCTGAATTCTTTATCTGACATTCCATGTGCTGCAGATATTACTTCTTCTAATGTTGAGTTAAACTGCATTCCTTGTGGTCCTTTTTTCCTTGTCTTTTCATATTGCTCACATTTCTTTCTGCTTTATGAAACTGATGTGTTATTGATTTTTCCCCTATATATATTTATATTGCTCTTGTATAGTTGCAAAGTCTCCCTTTTGTGGAGAAAGACAATGTTAACAGCTCTCAATATCAATAATACATCATCTAAGCACTCGTTTTTCTTATTTCTACATTTATAGCTAGACTCTATGTGTACAAATGTTGGTTTCGATTATCATTTACAAATATAGTCATTAGTTTCATGAAAGGCATACCATTTCTGATAGCTTAAAGAAAACTTAATTCCAGGTGTAGGATGTTATGTTTAGGGGGAAAGGAGTGAGGGTATGGGGTTAATCTAACTTAGTATCTTTGGAAAGCTCTAACCAATAGATGGGTAATTTATGGAAGAATGTATAGATTCAAATTTCTATCTGTATTTATAAGATTACTCTACTTATAAATAGTAAAATTTAGGGGGTTTCAAGTGGGATAGAGGGAGTAAGAAGTATGAAAAACAAATACCAAGGAAAGAAAGAGAAAAAAGGGAGCGGGAAAAAGAAGAGAAAAAAGAATAGAAATGAAAAGGTGGGAGGGAGGTGGGGCATATGCAATTCCTCTATATTATATTATTCTGGTGATTCAGTTATTAAAGATCTTTTTTATGCAGAATTCTTGGTTTCACATATGTTGAGGTTGCGAGGACCAGAGGGGGAAGGATAGAGGAGACTAGATGAATGGATGAACAGAGAGAGAGAAGAAAAAAAAGACAGAAAGAAAAGTCTCTCAGAATTCTGTTTTCTTTTCTTCCAGTTGGTGGCGTTGTCTATTCCTAGCTTGAGTCTCTGGGTTCAGGGTGGTGGTGGCAGTCAGTGTGAGAGGCCTTGAGGTTACACCTGTGGTCTCTCTACTCTGATCCACTGTAGAACGGAGCTGTTAGCCATGCCCACTGATTGGTGGGTTTTAAGGGTTGGTGGGATTTTCCAAGATGAGTTCCATCAGTTTTTCTCATAAGGTGTTTGATGAGGTGGGGGTGTTGGGGAAACCTTATGTTTGTC